CACAGTTGTCACAAAACGTCATGTTCGATATGGGTCCCACATGATTTATACAACATGCGTAAAATATATTAAGATGAAATTTTAAAGCGTGGCATGTAGCGACTGCGTCACCAAGGTGAAAACCCTTTCACCACCAGTTCCCTCTTTTCATCACAAATTCACAAAATGGCCTTGTTTATAGTCTGCACATTCCTTCAGAAGACTGGAACAAAAATATCCAATTTTTCGAGTAAAAACTGAAAATTAACTACAAAATTGTCTGTTGGCTCCAAGATTAGGGTTCATTTCCAGAAATATTGAGGAACATAAGAATAAAGTGCAGAATAATTTGGCGAAAAAGTTTGGTGGTGAAAAGATTACAAATTTACATGATTTACAAACTTTAATAGCAAAAATCTGTCTGTCATGAGAATAAAGCATATAACAGTACTATAACAAAAACCAGACTGGAGTACTACGCAAAAAGACATCAAAACAACAGATTAAATTTCCTGACCAAGTTAACAATCAGATACAAAAGAACCTTTAAATAACACCATCTACAAAAGTAACCATATACCAATCAATATACTGCGTGTGTAAGACGAAGGGTTCTATTAAAAACATCTAATATTACAGATCTCATGCTGGCCAAACCACTGCATAATGAAATCAACGATCGCTTCATCGGAAATTTAATCTCAAAGTTTGTTAATCAAAATAGAGCCAAATTTTGAAACAATTTTGACCGTATATGTAACTGATGAAGAGAAACTGTATTTGACCTTTCACCTTTCGTGTCAACTTGTGTCACGGTCGAGTTACTTTATTTATTTATTTATTTATTTCAAAACACAGACCAAGGATTCATGCACTGTCAACATAAACAAAGCCAAACCAAGTTGTTCTATCTAGGGTCCGGAAAAGTAGGCTAGCAAAAGTCAGTTAGCTAAATTTTGCTGGAAACCCCATAGCTAATAATAAGAAAATACCAATACACACAAAAGATAGCAAAAATATGTCTTTTCCTAACTAAATTGAGCTAATTATTGAAAATACCAATACGCAAAATAGGTCTTTTTTTGTCTTTTTGACAATTTACTTTACTCATATCACAATGTATTACCAAAATCATCTGTGTTTAGATGAGTTCAGTTTAAAAACAAAATCTATTGAACATTATGAACAATGTCATTACCTATGTAACACAAGTCTTAACATTCACTTGACCTCACAAGCAAATGTTCAACTAAACCACACCACAGGAAACTGAACAGTCAAACAAATCTACCACTAATTGTTGTATACCAATACTTTGAATTCCACTGACCAGCAGACAGTATTTCACAACAGCTCTCAAATTTACTGCCAAGAATCTTGAGTTCAGTGAAAATGACAAACAAGATTAGGTTTGATTGGCTACACATTGGCTAAATACCTATAACTGTAACTATCAAGCCAATCAGAAAACAGCTTCTTTACAACCAATCAAATCACATCTTGTATAATGCTAATGTGAATTTTAACTATATATGTGTGTGAACTTGTTATTGCAGCAAACTGAGATTGTTTAATATTGTCAAGACAACAGGGGAAAGTGCATGTGCATGTGGTCTGTACAACCACACCCTCAATCATTTTCATCGTTAAGATTTGATAATTTAAAGGCGTTCGTGAGGTTGAAATTTCACAAATGTACTGAGTCGCAATCTTAAAACAAAAAGTTCACAGCTACAGATTTTTTGCAGACTGACTTCGTGAAAATTCTGGCAAATTAAAGTGGTTTCCAATAAGCCAATCTGGCTTAGTTGGGACTTTTTTTTTTGAGTTTGTCATGAATTTCAGAATAATGTGCCCGCTGCTAATACCCATTATCATAAAGCCTGCATATTTACCTTTCACACTTCACAATAATTATTTATAATATACTGTAGCGTAATACTGAATGTTATGTAAGTTTCATCATTGGACGATGCTTCAACTATTAAAACAGATTACCGGTAATACAAAATATTTTAACTGATACTTTGAGGAAAGCCAAAATTTGAGATTACCGTACAAGGAGGCTGGAGGCTTTCCTGCAAGCAATATATGAAAGTCCAATGTAAGCCAGTTTACAATCACAGTGTATCTATCTCCATACGACAGAATCAAAACTGTGTACAGATTTCTGACAAATGAGAGAATCGGTCACTGGAGCTAATGATCATGAAATGCCAACTGTGACATGGACTTCTTCATCTTATTGAAGTCGTTAACTCATCCCTATAATCCCCAATCAGTGATCGAACGTAATCATCATATAAAATTAATTTGTAACAGCTATTAGCGTAGATCAATAAATACATCAACTTTACAACAAAATGATCAATATACCCACCTACTGACAGAGAATAATCATCATTCTATAAATGAGATTTATACTTAGCATTGAGTTGACCACAGAAGCAAATAATTATAGCTCGCAAATTAGAATATATTCTCATTAATTGCAATTTGGAATCACAGACTAATATTTCGTCAAATCGGAAGTGGGGCTGACCAACTACATGTATCTATCTACCTGTGGGAAACAGAATGATACCCTGGGACAGGACTACTATTTACCATAGTAGGTCTCCTTGCTACAATAGGTGGTAACACAGTGAGTTGTGAATACTAAATTAAAAGTACTAGTAGATCATACGAACAGTGTTCCATTGACATCTAATATCATGTTTATCTCTGTGGAAGGGACACATACAACATAGTTTCATATCATTACAAAATACCATACAGTAAAAGTGAATAGGATTTGGTTTTATTTTATGTTTTAAAATTATTGACAACCGGTAGGTATATAAATTTATAGATATTAAAGAAAAATACTAAATTTTATGGACATTATCTTGTGGAATAAACTCAATTGAAAGGCACTAAATAATTTACTGCTTGTCCTGCGTACATGTAAGCTGTGATTGCAATATGTCCAAGAGGTTGCATACGACAAGCAGGTGTTTGTAAAGAGAATATCTACAATGAGAACATCACATACTGACAAAGAGCAGTAAATCCAAGGATACTAACATCCATTATTCAGTTATATCCTCCACAACATAACGCTCTCTTTACTCGTCCCTGAAAAGACGGGCACATGTACAGTAATGCACATGAAATTTAGTTGAATTTTTTACGTCCACCTAAATTTGAAAAAGAAGCCATATTGCAATACAAATTTTAATATATCAGTACACACGAATGTCGTTACCGGTACATGTTTACTGTTTGTGTATGATAACCTGTGTAATATATTCAGTGATTTCAAAGTCAACTTTCGGTCATTCAACCAAAGCGAAGTAAGCCATTTTTATTTTAATTTGTAGTACTAACATCAACCCCTTCAACTCTTCAGTTTCATTATTATAGTTGCCAGGAATATCGAAACACAGATGAGTAAAATACAGAGATGTCAATTTAATTCGTTTCATATATCGATGGTCTAAACATATTTATAGAGCTGCATTGTCAATCTCCCAAGCGGGCCTCAATAAAATACAAAAACCAACGAACCATAATTTTGAGATGCATGATGATACAGAAAATACATGTTGTGCAGCCCACAGATTAACTACGGATTCAATACGCCTAATAGAAGATGCACTGAATTGGATGTGAATATGGGAACTACAGTAGATGAACAAGATATTTCTATTTTTACTTCATGAGCGTAAAAAGTACATACGTTACTGAAACACGGAAAGCTTAGGTTTACCACATACCAGTACAAATATATGGCTGACATATTTAGAGAGATAGATTTGTTTCAAATATGTTTATAGGATTAAATCGTTAATAAACCGAATAAGGAGCTAAGATATAAAAATATCTGCATACGATAAAAAAAAAAAAAAAACAGTAATCCCACAATGCCATCCCTGGGAATAACGATTTTCTCTTTTATTGGGGAAAAGAACACACAACTGACAGCATACCATTGAAAGCAGGTGGTTGGTTGATGCCATTTACAACAAAATAAGCCAGGGTAAATGGTTAATTTGCATAACAATAACATTTTATGGTCATTGTGACTAGCAGGTATTGTTCATCAACAATTACGTTTGCGAGTCAATAAAAGAGCTATGCATGTGACATAGGGGAAAACTGAAAGAACACTTAAACTACTGTAAAGGCATTATTTTTTCCACAGGTTTTAATTTCACCATTTTCACCATGATAAGTGAAATTTAATACACATGAACTTGTGAAATAACAATAGAACTCATTGTTTCGCTGCAAAGTTCATGAACTTAAAACCCAGTGAAAAGGCTCAAACACCAAAATAGTGAAATTAAATGCCAGTGAAAATATATGGTTTGATCGGATTTATATTGCAGTACTGTACAAGCATTCATTTTCCCCATTATTTGATTTCAATAAATATGAACACAATCACATGTTCACTGGGGTATTACATTCACAGATTTGTCAGCTGTGTGCCGGCCCTCTAGCACGACTGATTTTGCCATGAGCCAAAATGAAATTCCCCAAATCAAGTTGGGTCAGATTATTGACTACTTCTGAAAGAGGTGTTGAAAATAAAAAAGGCTCTATGTGGCTGTACGGTACTACTGATGACACACAAAAAATATAGTGGCCGCTGATTTTTTTTTTTTTTTAAACATTAATTTCATTTTTCACAACTTCACGTCATAAATTAGATCATTAGGATTGATTCATTTTAAAGGAAAAAATAAACATGAATACATAGTAAACCTATTCTTAACCCTTTCACCACCAAATTTTCCTGCTCAAATTTGTCTGCACTTTTTCTTGTATTCTCCAATATTTCTGGAAAAGAACCCTAACTTTGGAGCCAACAGACAAAATTTGAGTCAATTTTCAGTTTTTACTCAAAAAATTTGGTTATTTTTGTGCCAATCTTCTGCAGGAAAGTGTAATGAAAAGTGGAAACTTGTGGTGAAAGGTTAATTAATTAAGACATTGGAGCAAAGGAATAACAAACAATTTGATTCTCAACTTACCTGCCTCTGTTAGTAATATCTTGGAGATCACATGTGTCAAATAACTGTGATCCTGATAATCCTAGATCCTCACAAACATGTAAGAAAAGATTTAGATTATCCTGAAATTAATCCAAAGACAACTGAGTTATAGATACATGATGCTATTTGCAAGCCAATAAGGGGTCAACCATTTAAAATCATGGGGGTGGAAGAGTATGACCAGCGCAAATTGTAATTTTCCTTGAATATACCAACAGTTTTTCTCTGTGACATATTGTATACAATTTTTTTTTCTCGGTGCCAAGCATGCAAATTTTTATCGAATCTTCCAGCCGCCCCCCCCCCCACAATTTCAAATGGTCAATCCCTAAGGGTGTTATCAAAGATATGGAATCAGGCCAACACATATGTCTGACAGTTGATATAAGATTTATTTATCATTGTTGAACTGATGATATCTAAAATTTATGGATTGATATAAATCCCAGAACTTTGACTACATAGGTCACCAATGACTTCTATTTGGGGTACAGTGTCATCAGTGTTTTATGTTCTTGGCTGGGCAATAAATTTTTTTACACGGCCTCTCTGGATGCAATTTTCAGCATGGCGGTTTTTGCTGTGCTTGGCCATGCATACATGCATGAACTTATGAGAAAACAATGTTAAATACTTCTAGTGAAACAAAACAAACATATAATGACAGTATTATGCTAAAAGTATCAAATTGTCCCCCATATTTTGGCATATTGCTGGTGGAGAACACTGTTAAATCTGACGACAATGGCACACAAAGATAGATTGAGAACAGTAAAGAGGTCAAAGTACTGCCTGCTTTATATCAACTGAACAGGAATGCAGACCAAATGATTATCATCAATTTAAGGACTTTCAGATTTATTATTCCCAGGTGAAAGGCCTACTGAATTAAAATGCCTACATCAGGTAGAGTGACTTCATCAACAACCGGCCATGAATGAAGATAAATTGCTAATATAATATTGTAAATGTAATATTGAAAGTACATTCACTTAATACATAAGTAAGATATGTGTTTGGTGACTTGAAATCCCACTAACATTTTTGGTATGTATGCTGTTAACTTGCTGTACAATAAACTCCCAGCATGCAATGCTGTAAACTCCCAGCATGCATTGGGGTAAACATCTGGTTGACCTTTTATGTAGTGAGCTTTGTGTCACATGCTCCGTGTGTTTTCTGGAGCTGTGCAGTCTGTATTTCTGTGAACGGGATTCAAATAAAGATGAAACCGTTTACCGATATTGTTGAGTTCGTACTTTATTAATCTGAATTAGAAATGGTCTTTGAGAGATATTTTTTCCCGTTTAAAATTCAATACAAATATTTTCACATTTTGTTAAATTTTCACTAAATTTCATCAACATTTATGACCATACAGACAGCTTTAGATATTGCTTTCAATTTTTGATTAAAATATTTGTTATTTCTTAACAACTTTTTATGTGAGGCAGAGCAGACTGTACAAAGTAATTTAGTAGATGGTGCCAAAAGTTGACAATGGCGTCAAAGGATTATCAATCAATTATACATGGTACAAACGCCCCTGTATTACAAGCCAGAGTATTTACACTGGATTAGCTAGCTACAGTGACCAAATACAGCTTGTGGCTATAAAATTGTGAATAATTAAAAAACTTGACAGAATTCGTTAACTTTTCGTCACTAGCAATGTTGTGAGCATTTATGAGGACAAAACTTTACGAACGTCACTATGGCTTCCCATCGTAGTGACTCCAGCAACATCCTTATTATACTCTCGAAATGTATGACAATTCATCTCTTGTGAAATTAAATCAGTTTGTGGTAGCCGATATTTTTATGAGACTTGTATACATGCCTAGATGCAGCGAAACATTCTATGCAAGGTACAAGATGGTTTAAGTTTAAGACACCAAGGCCCTCAGGTATTTCCCATGGAATGCCTTCTGTCAACAAGACAACTATTGCAGTATAGAAGCAAGATAGGACTTGTACATGTATTCTCTAGATCAGATCAGATACGCCAATCAAGCAAACTCACAGAGATAAGCTTAATTTGCCAAGATCACTGTTAACTACTCGCGCTCAAATGTTAGTCCAGACAAATGACACATAAATAAAAAAAAAAATTAAGTTCACAAAGTCAGAAATTCCAAAATCCATTAAACGTTGAATTTCATGCATTCCAAATAAAGGTAAATTTTTTCTTAACAGCCACGATCAGGTTACAGAGTGTCCGAATTAGGCTATTATTTAAAAAAGAATTATGATTCATAGCAACACTTAGTCCTAATTTCACCGATAATCTCAAAAGAAGGACTTACTGTATTTGCTTCGATTTCATCAGAATAAAAACGCACATACATATAAACCAAAATTGCAATAATTGTATGCTAGATCATGAAAATACAACTTATTTTGACCACATATGCAGCTCAGTCACTTAATTGTATGCGCTACTAAACGAGCTAATTTGGTACCGATCTTTCCCGATTCAGTCAAAACGCAGTCCCTTTATCACACAGAGGGACTGTGGTCAGAACAATTGATGGGCTATGAGAGAAATATGTATGTCAACCAGACCTACCAAACACAGTTATCATTTATTACTTGTACAGCGATCGCCAATCGGAAAATAATTGATTCTTCAGTAATAAATTCCACAAACTTTTAATAGGGTTCAGAGGTCAATGAGCTGACGCAGCTTGAAACTCAATTTCCAAATACAAAGCTACACAGCAGGGCTAGGGTGGGGTCCATTGACACCTATTTGATGATTCAATTTTTAAAAATACAAATTTAATGAGAAGTCACACCCAGAAGGAGTGGAGTGGTGGGGTTCTCATCTACTAGTAATGAAAATAAGAACAAAATAAAATGCCTTTGGTTTTATGCTGCACTCAGCCAGGTAAACAAGAAGGTCACCTGACCTATTATAACCAATGACAAGCCACAACAATCATTCAAATTACAATCAATCCAGATATAATGGCAAAGCTATGTTCAGGTACAATGGTGTTGGAGGGAGAGGAAGGCGAAGGGGGCTGAACTGAAATCAAGACACGGCTTCTCTGAGATTTACAAACACAAACAAACACAATGGATTAATGTTCTATGAAAACAGGAAACACTTTCTGATCATACAAACTATAGTTAAAGGTCAAACCTTGTTACTTTTATTCATTTTCTATTTAACACGATTACAACTAAACAGTGTTTGCTGTGAAACCAACAAGTCATCCACTACATCCTGAATTTGATGATTATCAGCTCAAGATCAAGTTGATCTTATCAGGGGACAATATATCGCACGTATCATTTCAAGGTTCACCCCAATCAAAGGCGATAAAATTCTGTATCTTGATATATTTTAATAATTATAGGTCTATAGAAAATACAATCTTCAGTACATGTACATACGCAATAGATGATCTGCGTTGGGACTCAAACACCGTGGCATACAGACTGATAGGAAAAAGATATACAACATAGGATAACAAAAATGATAGAGGATAAAAATAAACCCACAGATGAGTCAACTCGGTAGTAATCTGATAAAACACTAGCGTAATACCCCCTCAGAATGACAACAGACACCAGGTTAGGCGTCAACGAATAGCTCCATACTGCAGGAGATCTTGACATTAGAAATACTACATACCACCTGTTGTAACTTTCTTATATAGACATTGACATTGACTGACCTTAGTACCTTGCCAGGCGAGATATCAAACTACGCTTGTACACACAAAGAGAAAAAAAAACCAGTCCTTCACAGTATTGTACTGTACTGTACATCCACTGTTTTCAATAAATGTACCAAGCACTTGCGTAAATAGTCAGAACGCCACACCTACTTTCTAAGTAGAGAAACCACACCAATTGGGTCAGCAGTTATTGAAAACATACAGCGGGTGCGGACGAGTCACTCAGTGCCCGAGGTAAACACAGGAAGCCAATGTATCACCAAACTAATGTTGTGTAATTCCACATCAAGCTACCGCAGTATGAAGTACGTGACTCTGGCGTCAAACATACCTAACAAACTCGCACCCAAAATCAATACTGTAGAACATAATACCGAGCGTAGCTGAGAATACACAGGAATACAATCCGTCCAGTTTATGCGTGATACAGTAAAATAGTCACTATTCGCACGTACACACACATGGCAAGTTGGAATTCAGGTGTGTCACTCAGGTAATAGCTCAGCTATTTAGGACAGAGACAAAGGTCAGTTCGGGTCAAGGAATACAAACAAAAAAGTGGTATTCACACGACTGTAAATTCACAAGAGGTATGGTAGTTATCAACAGTAGGCATAGTCATGTGTAAGTACACTGCTAGCTGGATTGTCTGACCCACTGTAAACACGGACAGTGATTTTATCGCGAGATGTCAATACAATAAGTCTGCTCTCCAACCAAATACGGTATGGTTATATACTTCACTGATCGCATGTGTACACAGGGTCTTGTTTAATAACGGGGATGTGAATTGAAACATTTAATTAAAAAAGAAATGAGAGAAATTAAAATTTATTATTCTGCAGATGTGATAAACTGAATTGATGTCCTTGTTTTATTGAAAATAAATTGATGAACACCTGACTCTAGAATGTCTTTGTAATATATCAGTTTGTCAACTGTGAAATAGATACAATTCAATTTGAGACTGTGCAAAGTGATCTACAATGAATTCCATATACCAACAAGCGTAACTTGCGTGTTTGCAATACAATATATACCATCACTCTGTTGAACGTCAATCACGATAGGTCATGAACTTTGAAACATAAACTACAAAGACTGCCACCCTCTGCAACACAAAACATCAATTTTATGAACCGAACCGGAGAAAAACCAAATCGTCACAACACAGCTTGCAATGCTGAGCATACATAATGAAGACTTGTCAGTCATTATAAACACGACTGAAATGCACAGATGAACCAAGAATCATAGCAATCAAAACATGACCCAACGTGGTTGTCTGTCAACGATACACGCACATCATGATATACAAATTATGTCATAGACGGTTGTTAAAATACATGTAGACAAGCAAGATGAAGCTCAGAGGTCATATGCTAGCGGGA